CATTTGATGTTGTAATCACAGAAATAAACATCTGACGTCAGTAGCTTCATTTTCTCGATATCACCTGGTATTTTACTGCCTAGTGGTGTCTTACCACGGTGTGTGCTACACCTTGTCTGTCCCAGGTGTCTGCCCTACAGTCTTCGCCCCCAAATGGTGTCTGCCCCACGGTCTCAGCCCCCAATGGTGTCTGCCTCACGGTCTCAGCCCCCAAATGGTGTCTGCCCCACGGTCCTGTCTCAGCCCCCAAATGGTGTCTGCCTCACGGTCTCACCCCCCCCAAATGGTGTCCACCCCACGGTCTCAGCCCCCAAATGGTGTCTGCCCCACGGTCTCAGCCCCCAAATGGTGTCTGCCCCACGGTCTCAGTCCCCAAATGGTGTCTGCCCCACGGTCTCACCCCCCCCCCCCCCAAATGGTGTCTGCCCCACGGTCTCAGTCCCCAAATGGTGTCTGACCCACGGTCTCAGTCCCCAAATGGTGTCTACCCCACGGTCTCAGCCCCCAAATGGTGTCTGCCCCACGGTCTCAACCCCCAAATGTTGTCTGCCCCACGGTCTCAGTCCAAGAAATTTCTGCGATTGCTTACGTACTATGCTTATGTAATATGCCTTCCATGAATCGACTAAAAAATATTTGACGTACGGTTTTTCAACATGCTGTGTAGTCGGACAAACCGTGTACATACAGTTTACTAGTTTTACCCAAAGCTGGCCAACGTTCGGTTAAATTGTGCGAATATCTGTGACCAGCAAGTGTTGTCAAATGTTATCATCCTATGAAACAATGGTCTATTAATAACTTCATTACCATCAATGACAGTATATGAAGTGTTTAGCATTTGAGCCATAACATTGAGTTGATTGCAACATTCTCTTCATGGTTTGAGTGACCACGGGTCAACACTTAAATATAGAAAAACAACAGATTTAACTAATTAGTGTAGTTAATTTTAACGTTGAAATTTACTCTAATCCTTGATTGCTCTACCATTAAAAATAAATGATTTAACTTCAACGGATACACGTCGCGTTAATACTTTAAAAAAACAAAACAACAACCCCCACAAAACCCCCCACCACAAAACAGACAGCCAACAGGAAATCTATTTACACGACTTTTGTCGCAGACGACATCTGCACGACTTTTTATTTTAAAGTTTAGAAATTTCAGCTTCGGCCTCGGTGACCTAACCAAACAGGAAACACTTGCTTAATAAAAAAAAAGTCCCCCAAACAAAGAATCCAATGTGAAGACCCCTTCACAATGTGAAGCCCCCATCACCAAACAGGAACACCAGCCTTAGATAAATGCTTGTCACCAACAAAGACACAGTGGTAGACTGGTGAGCGTGGCTACATGACAAGATGTCCTACAACAAAAGGGCCCCAATCAGATGGCCCCCGACAAAAATCACTTGTCTCACCACAGCGGGCCATGACCATCTGTTAAACTCTGAAACTGTGTAAAAACATTGTATAATAACCGCCGTCTTATCGAGCCCCTCCAAATATTTGCCGTGTACCGCGACCCCCAGTGTGAGAACCCGTGACCCACCAGGCCAGGGATCAAAGGTCGCCTTAACATTGAATGCTAAGCTATAAATCTACCATCACGTGGGCATTGGCTGGCCGGCAGCGTAAAGATATGCGAGTCAATATTGGCAGGGGTCTCGGAGACTGCGGCCAAAAACGGATGTCAGTTCTTTCAATAAATATCTAAAAATGACTTGTGTCCCCGGCCCTCACCTGAACAGATAGGGCAGGAATCCCCAGCGTCCCGTGTGAAATGGATAGGTTCTACCAGTCTTTCTGGCCAAGTACGACTGTAAATATATTGCTGTTTGTTATGTCTACCAGTCTTTCTGGCCAAGTACGACTGTAAATATATTGCTGTTTGTTATGTCTACCAGTCTTTCTGGCCAAGTACGACTGTAAATATATTGCTGTTTGTTATGTCTACCAGTCTTTCTGGCCAAGTACGACTGTAAATATATTGCTGTTTGTTATGTCTACCAGTCTTTCTGGCCAAGTACGACTGTAAATATATTGCTGTTTGTTATGTCTACCAGTCTTTCTGGCCAAGTACGACTGTAAATATATTGCTGTTTGTTATGTCTACCAGTCTTTCTGGCCAAGTACGACTGTAAATATATTGCTGTTTGTTATGTCTACCAGTCTTTCTGGCCAAGTACGACTGTAAATATATTGCTGTTTGTTATGTCTACCAGTCTTTCTGGCCAAGTACGACTGTAAATATATTGCTGTTTGTTATGTCTACCAGTCTTTCTGGCCAAGTACGACTGTAAATATATTGCTGTTTGTTATGTCTACCAGTCTTTCTGGCCAAGTACGACTGTAAATATATTGCTGTTTGTTATGTCTACCAGTCTTTCTGGCCAAGTACGACTGTAAATATATTGCTGTTTGTTATGTCTACCAGTCTTTCTGGCCAAGTACGACTGTAAATATATTGCTGTTTGTTATGTGTGGGAGTGTGTGGGTGGAGAGGTGTGGGAGGAGAGGGGTGGGGGGGTTAGTCTTGTTTGAAATGTACTTTTGTGTTTCTCTGGACACTTGGGTTAAGGGAAGCTGGACAAACACAGATGTGTCGCTGATTGCGGTTTTGTTAATTAATTTGTTAATTAATATGTTTTACTGTTAGGGTGATGACCACGAGATATACAATGCCGAGAGACACAGAACAATCATTAAGATACATGCGTTTAAAAAAAAGCTTTATTTAAAAAGTAAAAAACCTTCTAGATCATTATGTTGGATATGACAGATGAAGTAGAGTTTATCTGTTTAATATCAATAACCAACAGTTGCATAGTTTGACCAGACCTTTGTTAGCAAATTTTCGCCCAAAAAGATTTCATCAACTAAAATTTAGCGAGACAACGAAAAAGTACTACCTGGTACCATATAACGGAAAAGAAAGGAGTTAATAAAAAAGATAAGCTAGTCAGTGGACGAGGCTTTGTTGTGTCCTTGGCTTCTAGTAACTTGACCAGCGTGGCCTGACCTTGGGTTAGACGTACCCATTGATGACCACTGACAGTCGCCCTGGTACATCTCTCTTTTGTCCCCGCCGGTATTGTTGTCCACTGGCCAGCGACCCTGAGCCTGCCCCATTGTGGGGGACACCCGAGCCGACGCTGACTGTTATAAGAAATTATGCCTGCCCGACGTCCCTCAATGGGATGGGTGAGAGAAAAAAAGAAGAAAGTGTAAAGATATGAATGGAAGCGGCGATAACTGGAATACATTAAAACGCACGTCAAAATAGGGGCGATAATTCAGGCGAGAGGGGAGACAATGCTGGGAAAGATGTAAATTTGAAGGCTGGGCTGTAGAGAGGCGAGGGTGAGGGGATTGACTGGCCGGACAATAGCCCAGGAATTAGCTGTGAAGTGGTTTGACAATAGATAGGTCATCGCTTGTCTCACGTGGTGATACCTGACCAGGTGGGGGAGGGGGGGGGGGCATCTTCCCAGCCACTGATACCAACGTGGATTCATTCATCAACTCTTCAGGGTAGACCTTTCCATTTTTTTTTGTTTGCTTAAAAAATAAGGGGCTCAAAAAAGAATTGATTGAATGGTTGGTTTACGTTTTTGACTTGAATGGTTGGTTTACATTTGACTTGGATGGGTAGGTTGTGGACAGCCGGGTGTGGCCGTGAGGTGGTCTCAGGGGTCAGCTCGTCTACCTGGTCACGGGGCAGCTGCTGCTGTAGAGGGGGTGCTGGTCAACAACCCTCCCCCTCATCCTTCAACCCTCAACTCTTGATAGTGGCATGTCGTCAAGTGTGAGGTGTACATTTTGGGGTGGGGGAGGTTTTATCTCTTAGGTGACGAGATAAGTGGTGGGGAGAGTAGATGTGGGGGTGGGCTTTGGGGGGGTATGGTGGGCTTAAGAGAGGTGGACTGAAGGGATCAGGTTGGCGTTAGAGAAGTAGGCTTTGGGGGGATAAGGGGGACTTGCAGAGGTGGGTTTTTGATGTGGGTATTAGGGGATCAGGTGGGCTTTGAGGAGGAAGGCTTTAAATGGATCAGGTTGGTTTGGATAGGTGGGCTTTGGAGGGAGAATCAGGTGGGCTTGGAGGGTCTGGGTGGTTGTGGAGTCAGGGTACGTCACTGGATGTGAGGAGGGGCTAAATGGGAGGCGTCGGCTGGCTGTTGTGTGGGAGGTGAGGACCTAATGAGCCTGAACATAGTGAATGTCTGTGATGTATGCAAGTGTTTAGTCTATCCTAAATACATAGGGAACACAAATTGACAGCTTTAGCCCATCATAATTCGTAGACTCTGGGCACGGATTAGCCAAACATTCCATTGCTCATTAACTGCTGTGGTTAATCACATGTTTGTAGTATGGATTGTATTGAGGCATGGTATTCAGTCCTGTACATTTATATCAATACAAAATTCTCAGCATATTAATTTTTTTTCAATATCGAAGACATGGTTAACACAAAGCAAACCATCGAACCCACATTTAACCCATCGAACCCACATCGAACCAACACCTAACCCATCCCATATACTTGTGTCATTACTTGTGAAGTGTTCCTTAAATTGACCAGTTTCAAACTGTACGTTTGCCTGTCTTGTAGAACCATCCCTATAAGCATGTCACCATCCATGTAAGCATGTTACAATCCCTGTAAGCATGTCACCATCCCTGTAAGCAAGTCACCATCCATGTAAGCATGTCACCGTCCCTGTAAGCATGTCACCATCACTGTAAACATGTCACCATCCATGTTAGCATGTCACCATGTAAGCATGTCACCATGTCACCATCCCTGTAAGCAAGTCACCATCCATGTAAGCATGTCACCATGTAAGCATGTCACCATCACTGTAAACATGTCACCATCCACGTAAGCATGTCACCATATAATCATGTCACCATCCATGTTACCATATAATCATGTCACCATGTAAGCGTGTCACCATCCATGTCACCTTGTCACCATCCCTCTATCCCCAGCTGCCCTTCCCTGTGATTGGCTCCCTCAATGCCGTCCACATGTTTGCCGCCAACCACGACGCCGTCCTACAGTCCACCACAACAGACGACGCCAGAATCGTCTGGAAAGATTTCCACAACAGGTAAGTCTCGCGTCACTTCCGGCTACGTCACGGCAACTCTACTTCTCCCCAAGCACACCTGGATTCCTCCACGCCATCTAAACGCCTACGCATCTCGTCTGCTATTGTAGTCGACGGTATGTGGAACAAAAGTTGAGTTAGCCTTCACATTGCCAGGTTTTTTTTTTGAGCCTCCAACCTGGCCAGATGCCATCTAATTTCTCCCCAACAGACCTAGATTTACACAATGAAAAGGAAGTCAATGGAGAATGATGGGACTTCCTGTTGATTATTTCACATGTTTATCTCCCCTTCCACAGTATCTAGTTAGCTCCCCTTTTCGACCGAACTTGTCTATAGCGGAGATCATCTGACCACGCCCCTTATTTGTCAGAAATGAGGTCAAACGCTCAGATTTAAGCCTCATTGTGTCAGGTGGTAGTGAGTCCAAGTAGCCCCACACCGGCTACCCTACCCTGGTTCAATGGTCAGGCATTTTAGCAGCAGCATCAGTAGAGTTTTTTTTGTTACACTAGGCAGATGGTCTCAACACAATAGATTGCTATTAGATTTTAAAAGATTTTAAATTAATTAAAATCTCATTAATTTATTCACGCGTATGTGTTTATGTACAGACCTATGCAATATATATATATATATATATATATATATATATATATATATATATATATATATATATATATATATATATATATATATATATATATATATATATATATATCCCCCTACTATAAACTCTATTGACTAAAGCAGATTCATTAGACTTGTTTGTGTGTATGCATTAATCCTTGTTTGTGTGTGTGCATTAATCCCTGTGTGTCTGACCTTGGTACCATTAATCCCTGTTTGTCTGACCTTGGTACCATTAATCCCTGTGTGTCTGACCTTGGTACCATTAATCCCTGTTTGTCTGACCCTGATCCAGCCTGGTCCTGATTGCTGTGGTCAGCCGGGACAGTGCAGCAGACGACGTCCACGTGGGCCGTCTGCTGGAGAACGTCTTCCACTCTCTGGTGCTGCTGTACGGCCTGGAGGAGCTGGTCAACATCAAGAACGTCGAGAGGTTCAAGAAGGAGATACGGGTACGTGCTGGTCAGTCTTCGTCGTGGTCAGTCTTCGGCCTGTCAGTCTTCGGTTTGTCAGTCTTTGGTCTGTCAGTCTTCGGTCTGTCAGTCTTAGGCCTGTCAGTCTTCGGCCGGTCAGTCTTCGGTCTGTCAGTCTTCGGCCTCTCAGTCTTCGGCCTCTCAGTCTTCGGCCTCTCAGTCTTCGGCCTGTCAGTCTTAGGCCTGTCAGTGACTGGACCTTACGGGACGAAGATTTACGTTATATTAGTTTACACCAGTCAGGTGCTACTAAATAGAACAAAAACCTACAAAACAAAATAACAGAATAGAATCAAATGGAACAAAACAAAGCTCATTGAAACACAAAGAATACAACCGAGCACTTAAACTCTCTTTTCTAGGGTGCAAAGCTCTGCATCATGCTTTAACCCCACCACCATCTATCTTTGCCCATCTGAGTTCTACCTTTTATCTGCTGGCATTGAGGTTACTTGTTTGTAAGGTTTGGATAGCTTGGTGTTAACCAGCTTTCATGTGACTTTGTCGAGACCGAATGGAGGCTGGTGTGCTGTGACCGTTGATTGAATCCCCCCCCACAATTTGATGTGCTGTGACCGTTGATTGAATCCCCCCCCCCACAATTTGATGTGCTGTGACCGTTGATTGGAGCCCCCCCCCCACAATTTGGTGTGCTGTGACCGTTGATTGAATCCCCCCCCCCCCCCCACAATTTGATGTGCTGTGACCGTTGATTGAATCCCCCCCCCCCCCCCACAATTTGATGTGCTGTGACCGTTGATTGGAGCCCCCCCCCCCACACACAATTTGGTGTGCTGTGAACGTTGATTGGAGCCCCCCCCCCCACAATTTGGTGTGCTGTGACCGTTGATTGAATCCCCCCCCCCCCCCCACAATTTGATGTGCTGTGATGGTTGATTGAATCCCCCCCCCCCCCACAATTTGATGTGCTGTGACCGTTGATTTGAGCCCCCCCCTCCCCCACACACACAATTTGGTGTGCTGTGACCGTTGATTTGAGCCCCCCCCTCCCCCCCCCCCACAATTTGTTGTGCTGTGACCGTTGATTGAATCCCCCACACAATTTGACGTGCTGTGACCGTTGATTGAATCCCCCCACAATTTGATGTGCTGTGAACGTTGATTGGAGCCCCCCCCCCCCCCCCCCCCACAATTGGATGTGCTGTGACCGTTGATTGCAAGCCCCCACACAATGCGTCTCTCTTTTGTTTCCCGGCCCTTTGTGTCTCGGCCATTTGTTCTCGTGTTGACACAAGGATAAATAGTTGAGTTGCTCTTTCGCCCAGCGCCCTGTGTCGCGATCATGTTAGTATACAACAGGGATAAGCCATCGCCTCTCTTCCGGCCGCCATCTTGGGAAGTTGGCCAAGCTCTGCAAAGATCGAACCGTGGAAAAACCAACAAATCTGTTGACATGAGGTGGTAGGAGGGGGAGGAGGGGGACTCAGGAGGGGGTTTATTTGAAAGGAAACTGCTGCAGCAGAATGTAGACTTCATACCTAACTGCTTGTTTAGCCTCTGTATCCAACGACCTTGCTGAAAAAACGCGCCATAGTGGCGTTTGTTTGTCTCTTCCCTGCCCCCCCCCTCCCCCCACCCCCTCAGGATATGTAAGACGGCCCTGGGAACGGGACATACAGAAATGTCTCTTGTAGGAAAAATTAACGTGGAGTATTTGGTCAGAAATTCACACACTGAAACAAAGAACAAATCCTGTCGTCCTGTTTGAGGTGGGGGTGGGGGGGGGGGGGGTGTCCAGCGTCGGAGCGGCTGTACGGTGTTTGAGCTGCGTCACAGTTTTTAGCTGGACAACTTAGCCAGGTTTTTCTAACCTACGCCCGTGTTGTTTGCTGGTCAACAGCCCCCATGTTGCTACATTCGTCTGCTTCATGTCCCAGCCATTGCCTGCCTAGTGTAGACCTAGCCTCGGTGACTGCTCCCCCTTGGCTTATATCTTTTGATGAAATAATCGGAGTTGTGTCTCTTGTCGCAGATGGAGGCTAAAGTGCTGTTTGATCTGACCAGTAAGAAAATCTATATTCAGAGGCGTAGCGAGGGGGGGGGGGGACGGGGGGGGGTGCGGACAGCACCGGGTGACACCATTTAGGGGGGTGACACCAAGGCAAAAAAATATCAAAATATATTGAGAAAAATGATAATTCCACTTAATTAAGTGATTAATTCGAGTGTTAAATAGTCTTTTAAGAGGTGCAAATCGAAATTTTGACAGGGGGGGGGGTGCAAATCGAAAGTTTGAGGGACGGGGGGTGCATATCGAAAATTGAAAGTTTGTCCCTGGGAAAGGTCGCTACGCCTCTGGGGGGTGGGTGACACCATTAAGTGCCGCACCGGGTGACACCCGACCTCGCTACGCCACTGTCTATATTTAGCCTTGATGTTGAACCCAAAAGTTCACTGAGATCAAGACCCACCCCTAACCCGGGAGACCCAACATTTGAACGTTAGGAACTTTTGTACATATATCATTTTATAATCTTTATTAAACAAATCACTTTTAATTCAGAAATCAATTTTAATGTACCTTACATTCATTATTATGAAAATTATGTCTTAAAAATCTAGTAATATAAAAAAGAAAACTATATTCTGAAAAAAAATAATTTTCGGTCGATAAGGTTTTACATTTGAAATTTATAACCATTATTATTTATTATTGTTCAAATGTGACAAGCCAAAATCATATAAAATGTGAAGTAGCATGTATGCCCTATACGCATGTAGGCCCTATACGGTCTATTTAAAAGACTCAGTACATCTTCTTCCAACTATATTTCCCACTTGAACGAGATATGAATTCCAGATATTTTTTCCATCCTTGACATCCAAACTCATCCTTGGGCAAATGTTGATTTTATCCTGCCATACTCTGATGGAAATTTATCAAGTGCAGGGGCTAGTGCTTTTTACTGTACGCTCGTGTTTCTCTCCCCTTGGATAAGTATATTTATAACTCCAGCTCGCTGTTTGAATATTGGTTCCGTCCCTTTATTGACCAATAAACTGTGGTCCATTAATTTACCGCCACGATCAAATATAAGACCTACAAGGTAAACAGAGGTCAGCCTGGGCGGGAAAATTCTTGTTTAATTTTTTTTTCTAGAATAGCTTGAGGTAAGTTCGCTGGTCAGCTAGCCTTTAGTTCAGTGGGTTATATATTCAGTTATATGATTTTACCAGTTGACCAGTTACTGCACGGTTACTGCACGGTTACTGCAGGGTTACTGCAGGCGTGGACCATACAACCTTCTTGTGCGCTCGTATCATGTTTTGTCTGTATGTCTCCTGTCTGTATGTTCCCTTGTCTATATGTCTCCTGTCCTGCCTATATGTCTCCTGTCTGTATGTCTCATGTCTTGTCTATATGTTTCCTGTCTTGTCTATATGTCTCATGTCTTGTCTATATGTCTCCTGTCCTGTCTATATGTCTCGTGTCTTGTCTATATGGCTCCTGTCTTGTCTATATGTCTCGTGTCTTGTCTGTATGTCTCCTGTCTGTATGTCTCCTTTCTGTATGTCTCCTGTCTGTATGTCTCCTGTCTGTATGTCTCCTGTCTTGTCTCTATGTCTCCTGTCCTGCCTATATGTCCCATCTTGCTGATATTGTCCTGACCTCCTAGCCTACCATACAACATAACGTATCCGATTCCAACGTTTTCATTTCTCGACTGTGCAAATAAAAGAAAATATAAATAGAGTCTGAAATCTAAAATCTATGGAATCTATTGAATCTATCTTAGCACAACACAGGATCTGCGCAAACATCTGTTGTTTATTTACTTGAGCTGGGTATCTGTGATATATTTCTTTGAGAACATATCAAATAATCTTTTCGAGAAATTCGTGTAGGCAGCAGGATTAAGCAACAATAATGGAGTTTTGTGTTGATCTCTGCTATATAATGGGGGTAGGAGATGACCAATCTTTCAACATCCACACCACAAAATGACCAATCTATCAACATCCACACCACGAAATGGCCAATCTATCAACATCCACACCACAAAATGGCCAATTTATCAACAACACCACAAAATGACCAATCTATCAACAACACCACAAAATGACCAATTTAACAACAACACCACAAAATGACCAATCTATCAACAACACCACAAAATGACCAATCTTATCAACAACACCACAAAATGACCAATTTAACAACAACACCACAAAATGACCAATCTATCAACAACACCACAAAATGACCAATCTATCAACAACACCACAAAATGACCAATTTAACAACAACACCACAAAATGACCAATCTATCAACAACCCCACCACAAAATGACCAATCTGTCAACACTCACACCACGAAATGACCAATTTACCAACAACCCCACCACAAAATGACCAATTTATCAACAACCCCACCACAAAATGACCAATTTATCAACAACCCCACCACGAAATGACCAATCTATCAACAACCCCACCACAAAATGACCAATCTATCAACAACATCACCACGAAATGACCAATCTATCAACTAACAGACCACAGAATGACCAATTTATCAACAACCTCACCACGAAATGACCAATCTATCAACAATCCCACCACGAAATGACCAATCTATCAACAACAACACCACGAAATGACCAATTTATCAACAATCTCACAACGAATTGACCAATCTATCAACAACCTCACAACGAAATGACCAATCTATCAACAATCCCACCACGAAATGACCAATCTATCAACAATCCCACCACGAAATGACCAATCTATCAACAACATCACCTCGAAATGACCAATCTATCAACTAACAGACCACAGAATGACCAATTTATCAACATCCACACCACGAAATGACCAATCTATCAACAACCCCACCACGAAATGACCAATCTATCAACAATCCCACCACGAAATGACCAATCTATCAACAATCCCACCACGAAATGACCAATCTATCAACAACATCACCTCGAAATGACCAATCTATCAACTA